TAAAATTCGCCCATACACCCTTTTTACGCGATTTCAGACACCATCGCTGCAAGTGGGGAGTAAAGAGGGCGTGTAAATGGTGTAAACCGTCAGCACACCCTTTTTACACCCACCGATATTCAGAAATCGTGTAAAAAGCGTGTAAAAAGGGTGTTTTTCCTAACCTACACCCTTCTAACACCCTTTTTACACGATTATGGGTGTTACAATGTTGAGTGTGTACGACCAGGGGCTAAGACAAGGAGAGGCGAATATAGTTACTGTTTGTTTGTTAGCCTTTTACCAGTTCTTTTCTTCAATATATTCTTTCTCAAGCATAGAAGATCGACCAGGAATTGACGTAGTCTACTGCGCAATGATGCGGCACATTCTGAATAATGGTTCTAACGCGCAACAGGACAACGGACAGCAAGGAAGTCACAGACACACGGCTCGGCTCTCGCCCCTCATCAGATTCTGGATAACGTGATTTTCATTTCATATTTCCAATGATGCACGAGGTAGTTGCAACATCTAGTGACAAGTGCTTTAAAGCATTCCTCGGCATTATAGCAATCCTATTCTCGGCTCACGAGTGGCTTGTGCCAAAAGAAAAGCATTAATGGTATTTAATTAGCGTTATTTTGCGGTTTTCATATGTCGGAACAAAATTAAACACAGAACTACCTTGCTCAACGTTGTACATCCGACATTACTAGCTCCTAAACGTCCATGTGTGCCATATCGTAAACCGGAATAGTAAAGGTTAAGAATAAGACGTTGCAAATATGAGACGCACACCTGTATGCAAGCTAAAGTGGATAAAATTTGCAAAAAAAAAAAGAAACCCAAACAAAAAAGCATATTTACAATCTCTTTTGGCGAAGCTCAACAGCCGTTGAATTCATTTTCTCCCACAAAACGGTGACTGGCAGAAAAAGTGCAATCACAGTGTTCCCCTCTTTATTTAAACAAGGTACACTTGCAGGCTTGAGGCTGATGAGGCCTGAACCGAAACTTGGATTTTGCAAAGTAAGGCTGCAGAAGTGTTGGACGGGACGCTACAAAGCCAAAACATCCCTCGTACATCCATATCTCCAACGGATGGCCGTAATTTTGGAAAAGAAGGGCAAGATCAAGCGAGTTCTTTGACGTAACTGTCCTCCGGGAGAATTTGAGAATGAGGAGAAGCGGTCTCGCTTCTCTCCTCCTCACTTCGATTCACCAGCTTGACGGGACGTACGGTACGGTAAGATGGGCCCTCCGGTACGAACTGCACATGTGCTACCGCAGAAGACTCCCACATCAGCAGCCAACTGCACAATGCCACAATGTCGAATGTGATTCATGTTCAGCGTGTTTAAATATTCAGTCGAGATTCAGTTTGACGCATATAACATCAAGGGTTTTTGAACCCTGCAATGTTTTCTCCGAAATAATATCCAAACATGATTATACACGAAGGAGGAAGTTTACCTAATTGATGCGCATTTTTAAACCCGAATATTATTGCCCTTTAGCAGTCGGTGTACCAACAATTTAAAAAAGCGCTTACGGATTTCTGTGGTTTATACCTCAACGCATACCTTTGCATAAGCTGTCATAGTCAATGGTTAGAAATTATCAGCTGCAAATTGTTGCTTAGGAGGCTCTTAAGATCACACTAAAATAACTTAATATCTTTTTTATTGTTTTATTTTTAGAACTATACACGGTTGTAGATTTTTTCCAACGTAGTTGTACAGCATAATCTCTACGCAAGAGGGACTTGATGCTCATAATGTGGAACGCTGAGATGTATTTCCATTTCTCTTTTGTGCAGCAAACAACCTGTGAGTGATGAGTGCTCTACTAAATGAAAACTTCTAAAGAGAAAGATATTATCGCTCTCTTTGATATGTGAATACAAAATAATCTTTGTAAGGAAACTTTCAAAACACATCTCACACCAAATGCGTGGTCAGGTGAGACAAAACTATTAATCTCAATCAACCGTTATCTAAAGAGTTTCCTTAAGAAACTTCATAAAACATATGTTGTTGATATAGATGCAGTAGATTTAATTTTATTTGATTTTTATATAACGTGATTAGTTAATTTTAGGCTACAAATTTTGAGAGACGTCGCCTCAATAAATAGTATACCGCAATACGAATTACTTTGTGTTTTGCTTCTTTCGTTTTTATTTTAGTACCTTGTCTAAAACACAACTTCAGAAGTATATAAAAAAACAAATATTGATCACATCACGCGCTAAATTTACGACGCATTTAATTTCCGATTGTCGTTATTTATATTGACACTATTTACACTTTAAACTTTGTTATCTTCACTGATACAACGCACAAACCCATGAACCACCAAGAACAAAGTCACCGCCGAATGGAAGCTCCTAAAGACTTTAATTTCAGCCAAAAAAATTTATATTTTCAATAGTTTAGTGAAGCAAGTATTTGGTAGACCACCATATAACTTGCGCTCTTTACGAAAGCCACAGCAGACTTGAAAGACTTGCAAGGCATTGCCTTTTGAAGTACCGAAATCATGAAATTATTGGAGCTTCCGAGTCGCAGCTGCCCCGTTTATTAAGTTGAGTACAATTTAGAATGGCTCCCCCTTGCTAACTAATCTACTAAGTATTGTCGTACTCCATCTGGTGCGTGATGAGATCATAGCTACCGGCAGTGGAGATTGCGGATATCATTTTTGTTTTCTGATAATATCATAGGCTGTAGGCGTGTGACTTATCACTGTGCACTGCTGCATTTGCATTTTTGTGTAAGATATTTGCGGAGACAATCTAATCAATCGTCAGGTGGGAGGTCTAGGAATATTTCATTGGCGTCAGTGTGGCCATTTTATTTGATATTTTCCGCCTCCGTCGGCGTCACAAGATAATCTCTCGCAGTCTGAAGCGTTCACGGAAAATATGTTATTTCAGATTTTACGCTTTCCTAATCATGCCTTTCGAGCATATTACCAGTACGAATTTGGCACAAGAGAAAAACTCAAGTTTTAGATCAAAACCTCATTCCTTCCCTGTACGCGCGAGGTCTATTACGAACACGTTAAGCTTATTCGCTTTGAACAGTGCTCACGACAAGATAAATTGAGAGTGAACGAAGAAGATGATGCAACCTTTGTCTCATCCAATAAATAAATAAAAAACTGTATTCACAAAAATACATTCTTTCAAAAGGCTGAGGTTGAATATAAATAATAGATAAATAAATAAAACAAATATTAAATATTTGGCCCTCATTGAGTCGCCCCGTGCGCACATATTCAGTTTTAATTTTCTTGCCCAAGTTGTCGTTACGTGTTACTTATCAAAAACTGCGACTTTTTCCTGTCATTTTATTACTTTTGGAGTCAAATATACAAAATTACAAAAGAGGGAAAGATTGAAACTAAATCAGAAAGCCTGACATAAAACTGGAAATTCGGACGATCTTAATAAAACAACGTGGTAGAGCAACCACAAGTTAATGAAGAAGTGTGAAAACTAGAGACAGAAACAAACAACAATTATAGGGGATAGTTTGGGCCATCACCGATTATGTTCCGCAATATTTTAAATATAAACATACCCAGCAACAATTTTTCACTTGTTATTTGTCATACTCCGCTTGTACATATGCAGCAGTTTACTTCTTTGCTGCGATTGAACACTTCACGAACTTGGTGTGCCATTACGACATATAGATTCTTATTTGTTTCAGGAAGTATTGCCGCACTAAAGTGGTGCATTTAAATCGACATCCACGTTTTCGCGTTCCTGATATCTAACTTAGACCCTTGCTTGATGTCTAGGTTAACTTAAACTGACTTATATGTGTAGCCATGTTGAAATTTACTGTAATCCTTGGTTCGAGGTATTTTCTTCTAGTACCCACGAGATCGCCTAAGCAGTAAAACTTTTTAAAATAAAAATATTGCATTTTTCTGATCACGTAACTTTCGTTACGGGAAAAAGGACAAAGGATTACAATATAAATATTACAGAAATAAAGTATGTTTAATTTCAGTTATTGTTACAGAAACTACTTTGTTTGTATTAAAATAGTTCAACAAAACGAAAGTTAACATCATTAAAAGAGCTCTATTAGGCAACGCGGTAGCGAAACCTAACTTGGTCACGTTTGGCAATCCAAGGGACCCAATTTGGACCTCTTTCGTCTTGCTACAAATCGGTTTAAGCGGCTTAACCTAACTAGTACTTAGTTTAAAAGTATTGCGGCATGTCAAAATTTGGCTTTCCGCCGATTCACCACAGAAGTGCCAACGAGCCATAAGGGAGCCAAAGATATAAGGTGACATCCGAGTAATCAAAAAGAGTGAAGACTAACTCCTGTCAAATCTGCCGGCTTACACCCAAACCGACAACTACGATGATTTTTATGTCTGATAAAAGATAGTTCTTATGATAACTAGAATCTTTAACATAAATGTTTTAAATAAATATTTATTATATAACCGCGCTTAGAGACAATTTCAGCATCAGCTAGTCATAGAGTGTTCCGTTTTGTATACAAAAGCGCGGCTTTACACATTATCATCGACAAGTTTCACTTGTTTTTGGTTGCGGTTATTTGAGAGCCCCGACCACACGCATTGTTGAATGTGACCATGGCTATTGAACTTGAAAGTACCTCAAGAGGTTTTCCCGTTTTTTTTCTTTTCTCGAATATCACCAGCAACCAACGCCCAAAAGTATTCTATATGGCCAGAATTAGCTTCACAGCAGAGCCTGTGAATTTTTTAAGAACACCTGTTAATTATGATCGTTGCGATCATAATTAACAGGTGTTTAAAAAATACATAAATTAAGACGCTTTTAGTGCAAATTTAGCTTTGATAATAAACTATTACCCTGCCATAAAGGTATAGTTTTCGCGCTTTGTGCCCTTCATAAAGCATGCATTCGAGAAGGTAGCGTTGTTCCACAAAAGACTTTACCGGCTGCAGAGAGTATGTTATAATGCACGAGTAAATACAGTCCAAGACACTTAAAAAAAAACTTTAGACCTTTAGAGAGAGCTTTTATTTTGCTTCATGTACTATTTTAGGACAACCGTCCAGGTTGCAGTTGAATCGATGTCTATCCCATGGCACCCACAATAATGCCAGCTATCTTGTTGATCACGACTTGTGTGACGATGGTCTTCGCAGCGCTAGTGATCACTTCACGCCAGCCATAGGCGGCAGCTTCGTCGTCGAGCTCGTCAAGGATGTCTTCTTTGGCAGCGTTAGCGATCAGAGCTTCAAGCTCGGAGTTCAGCAGTTCAAGCTTCTTGCGTTCGTCTTCCGTCTCGGGGGTATAATTTCCCTGCAGCCACTGGCCCGCTTTCTCAAAAGCTTTGCCAAGGTCTTGCTTCAATCGGTATTCCTCGCCTGAAGTAAAAAGTACCATATATGCATTTCCGAATCATGCCGTTATAACTACTTTATAAAGAACCCGTACTCGCCGTTGATTTAATAATGTCCGAAATGTGCCCTGCGAAAATTCACATAAGTTGTACTGTGCTACAAAACTAGTAGTTTTTGCTTTTTTTACATGGGTTATGTTGTGCATTATTATTACACCCTTCGGCCTCATGACTTCCTGAATAACAAAACGTATCCAATAATAAGGATATCCTGTTTCTAATAATCAAGTATATTTGAGAAAAATAAACACATGAATGGGCTAAAATATAAATATAAAATTGAGCAACCCAGGCAAATATATAAATATATACATATGGAATGTTGTACTTTGTAAATCGACTACTGTTCTTTTGACCTTATCAACACCATCTGAATTTCCTAATTATTCTAAAACTATGTTGAGCCATTTTACGTGGATCGAAATTTGCCACCGACGAAAAAGAGTGCCCCAATAATGTCTCTGTGAACTAGATCTTGTATTCAGCTGAATAAATAACGTAATCATTGAGAGATATATTTTTTATGGGTATATGTTAGTAAGTGCTCTACATTTTTAGAATAATTATTAGCTTAGCAGTTTCATACCTTCATCAGCTACACCCTGTAGGACGGGGTCGGTTGCTCTCTCGCTAAGAGAAAAAAATAATAATGAGGGTATTTAAAGATCTATTTTGAGAAAATGTAGACTGATTTAAAATTTAGATACATACTGGAATCAAAGGATGTACTTACACTGCCGCGCCATCTGCAGAGAACAAAAAGAAAAACACGTAATTATTCACTTAAGTCAGTAATATCATTGTCGTCGGACACGTAAAAGATAAAGTAATGGTTGAATAGTTAAAAAGGGAAACTCCTGCTCCTGAATTGACTCATTACTTTGACATAATATATATGATTTTATCTCGCTCACACAAATTGAACATTGTGTTCGAAAGTTGGTCCAGTCACCTTAGAAAAACACTATTCTGAGATGTTTATTATAAAAAACTTCAACATTTTAAAGCGGACATAATGTCAGTGTTTCCTTGATTAAAACAGAAGTTTTTTTTGTTTTTTTTACTTAAGCAGATTGTGCTGTGCCGCGTTTGGTCCTCTCGGCGCCTGGAACGCTTTCGCATTCATGACTTATACGAACTGCTTAGTTGTCCTCGGAATGTTTAGATTGTACATACTACCACAAATGATGCAAGGGAGATTGCAATTTTATAAAAAAATTGTATTACTCACATGCATTCGTTGCCAACGCCAATGCGAGCAGGAGATAGAGCTTCATTTTCAAAATGCTGCGTTGTGGAAAACATTTTCGCAATTAAATGAATGTTTTGTCAATGGAAATAAAACCGAATATTCAATTTTTTGTACCTTATTTCGTCTACATCATAGCAAACCTTATTATAGATTTTCGTATCTCTTTCAAATAGGTCGTTGAGGGTTCATAAATATATGTAGCACCCTATTATCCTTAATTTTTATATCTAAAGATTGTCTCCTGCGAAGCAATCATGCCCGTAAAGAAGACAAAAAAAACCTTTCGAAGTATCTTCTTGAGTACATTGTTTTAACAAAATACCTTTGCAGTGAACTTAATATGCAGCGTTTTTATACTTGGTTTCAATTAATGATCCACTAACCTGAACGAAGTTGTTAATAATATTATTAACACCAACACAATAAGATTTGGATAGTGAACAAGATGTCGGTTCTAAGAGACTTACCCAAGCTCAACCCTAGAAAAAGTGCTCATTGCCCACTTTGCGTTTCATTTTATAGACAATTGCAAGTCCGGAAAAGAATAGCTTGATTAGTTTCCCTGAAATTGATTTGTTATCTTTGATATAATATCGCGGGTCGAGCTGCGCATACTTTCATTACCTTGGGTTCGTCTGATAAGTGTTACTATGTGGCATGATGTAGGAAAACCTAGAGTTTCTTAAGCTTGAAAAGCGCCTGCCTTAAAAATGTCTGGTTTTGTGCATTTCCACAAGTACACAATATTTTTTTTAGTTTAATCTCAACCCCAAGATTCTCGGACAGGCGAGCGCCGTTACTACTTGCGCCATCTATCGGCCGCCGCTGCGCCGGCGCCCGTAACTCAATGGACCAAAGCGATCTTTTTTTATACAAAGAAAACTAATCACTCAATCCCTTTGCACTTTTGTGTCACGTTTTAATCCGTTGCCCTCAACCTCCACGAGAAGTTTCGTGGTCCTGGGTTTATATTAAGTCTGGCCAAAATGCAACCAAACTTTTACTCATTGGTTCCTATGGCGAACCGCAGAAAAATCATAATCTTTTCAACATTCGATGCAAACCCTAAGAAACCCACACGATTAATTTAGTTGCATTTTGCTATATATATAGCCAATGTCTCTAGCTCCATGGGAACAGTTTTTATTTTCAAATTACTTAAATGTAAAGTGGTTCCCCAGGGCTTTAGATACCAAAAGGAATCCGCAGTTGGTGAGGAGACTCGAGGATTCAGTGACCTTGTTGCGTTCCTAAATACATATTTTAGCAACATATGTAATGTATAACAAAACGGCAACTACACTGAATATTTTCTTAATTGATAAACACAAAACCTAAATGCAGGTTGTTTTTTTTGTTGTTGTTGTTTTATTTTTTTTTTTGTTCTTATCGCGTAATTATCTCAAATACATTATACTTAAAGCGCTGAATAATTAAGGAGTCAAAGCGTTTTTTGATCCGAACTATCTTTTACAAAGTGTCCAAATTTCATTTCACCAGCTATTCCACTTCCAAGAATGGTATTAAAAATAAAAATGCCAAAATGAGTGGGCGTGGTTCAGACACTTTGGCAAACGGGACATGAAGAGTACCATTTATGGCGACATTTAGCACGCTGTTACTGCTAATTAATCAATCTTATGTAGGTTTGCTTCGCGTGCGCCCAAGAGCTTTTGAAACGGCCCAGTATCTCTTAAGTCATCACAACCTCAGACGTCAAAATCAGGCAAAAAAGGGGTGTGTCCCAGAAATTTGGGCATACGCGCCGCCAGTTGTACCATCAATGGCGACACTCAGTACTCTATAAGCCATAATAATGCATCTCCTCCAGTTCTGCGACGCATATGCCTGAGAGCTTTTGAAGCAGCCCAGAATTTATTTAGTTATCACTCTCCAAAGCTTGCCTCAACCGTCAAAATCGGCCAAAAAAGGGGCGTTTCCCCCAAATTTGGGCATACGCGCCGTCCATTGTACCATCAATGGCGACACTCAGCAGTCTGTAATTCATTATAAGGAATCTCCTCTAGGTGTATGACGCGTATGCCCGAGTGCTTTTGAAGCGGCCCAGAATTTATTCAGTTATCGCTCTCCAAAGGTTGCCTCAGACGTCAAAATTGGCCAAAAAGGGGGTGTTCCCCACAAATTCGGGCATACGCGCCGTCAATTGTACCATCAATGGCGACACTCAGCAGTCTGTAATTCATTATAAGGAATCTCCTCTAGGTCTATGACGCGTATGCCCGAGTGCTTTTGAAGCGGCCAAGAATTTATTTAGTTATCGCTCTCCAAAGGTTGCCTCAGACGTCAAAATCGGCCAAAAAGGGGGCGTTTCCCACAAATTCGGGCATACGCGCCGTCAATTGTACCATCAATGGCGACACTCAGCAGTCTGTAATTCATTATAAGGAATCTCCTCTGGGTCTATGACGCATATGCCCGAGTGCTTTCGATGCGGCCCAGAATTTATTTAGTTATCGCTCTCCAAAGGTTGCCTCAGACGCCAAAATCGGCCAAAAAGGGGGCGTTTCCCACAAATTCGGGCATACGCGCCGTCAATTGTACCATCAATGGCGACACTCAGCAGTCTGTAATTCATTATAAAGAATCTCCTCTGGGTCTATGACGCATATGCCCGAGTGCTTTCGATGCGGCCCTGAATTTATTTAGTTATCGCTCTCCAAATGTTGCCTCAGACGCCAAAATCGGCCAAAAAGGGGGCGTTTCCCACAAATTCGGGCATACGCTCCGTCAATTATACCATCAATGGCGACACTCGGCAGTCTGTAATTCATTATAAGGAATCTCCTCTAGGTCTATGACGCGTATGCCCGAGTGCTTTCGATGCGGCCCTGAATTTATTTAGTTATCGCTCTCCAAATGTTGCCTCAGACGCCAAAATCGGCCAAAAAGGGGGCGTTTCCCACAAATTCGGGCATACGCGCCGTCAATTGTACCATCAATGGCGACACTCAGCAGTCTGTAATTCATTATAAGGAATCTCCTCTGGGTCTATGACGCATATGCCCGAGTGCTTTGGATGCGGCCCAGAATTTATTTAGTTATCGCTCTCCAAAGGTTGCCTCAGACGTCAAAATCGGCCAAAAAGGGGGCGTTTCCCACAAATTCGGGCATACGCGCCGTCAATTGTACCATCAATGGCGACACTCAGCAGTCTGTAATTCATTATAAAGAATCTCCTCTAGGTCTATGACGCGTATGCCCGAGTGCTTTCGATGCGGCCCTGAATTTATTTAGTTATCGCTCTCCAAATGTTGCCTCAGACGCCAAAATTGGCCAAAAAGGGGGCGTTTCCCACAAATTCGGGCATACGCGCCGTCAATTGTACCATCAATGGCGACACTCAGCAGTCTGTAATTCATTATAAGGAATCTCCTCTGGGTCTATGACGCATATGCCCGAGTGCTTTCGATGCGGCCCAGAATTTATTTAGTTATCGCTCTCCAAAGGTTGCCTCAGACGCCAAAATCGGCCAAAAAGGGGGCGTTTCCCACAAATTCGGGCATACGCGCCGTCAATTGTACCATCAATGGCGACACTCAGCAGTCTGTAATTCATTATAAGGAATCTCCTCTAGGTCTATGACGCGTATGCCCGAGTGCTTTCGATGCGGCCCTGAATTTATTTAGTTATCGCTCTCCAAATGTTGCCTCAGACGCCAAAATCGGCCAAAAAGGGGGCGTTTCCCACAAATTCGGGCATACGCGCCGTCAATTGTACCATCAATGGCGACACTCAGCAGTCTGTAATTCATTATAAAGAATCTCCTCTGGGTCTATGACGCATATGCCCGAGTGCTTTCGATGCGGCCCAGAATTTATTTAGTTATCGCTCTCCAAAGGTTGCCTCAGACGTCAAAATCGGCCAAAAAAGGGGCGTTTCCCACAAATTCGGGCATACGCGCCGTCAATTGTACCATCAATGGCGACACTCAGCAGTCTGTAATTTATTATAAGGAATCTCCTCTAGGTCTATGACGCGTATGCCCGAGTGCTTTTGAAGCGGCCCAGAATTTATTTAGATATCGCTCTCCAAATGTTGCCTCAGACGTCAAAATCGGCCAAAAAGGGGGCGTTTCCCACAAATTCGGGCATACGCGCCGTCAATTGTACCATCAATGGCGACACTCAGCAGTCTGTAATTTATTATAAGGAATCTCCTCTAGGTGTGTGACGTGTATGCCCGAGTGCTTTTGAAGCGGCCCAGAATTTATTTAGTTATCGCTCTCCAAAGGTTGCCTCAGACGTCAAAATCGGCCAAAAAGGGGGCGTTTCCCACAAATTCGGGCATACGCGCCGTCAATTGTACCATCAATGGCGACACTCAGCAGTCTGTAATTCATTATAAAGAATTTCCTCTAGGTCTATGACGCATATGCCCGAGTGCTTTCGATGCGGCCCAGAATTTATTTAGTTATCGCTCTCCAAAGGTTGCCTCAGACGTCAAAATCGGCCAAAAAGGGGGCGTTTCCCACAAATTCGGGCATACGCGCCGTCAATTGTACCATCAATGGCGACACTCAGCAGTCTGTAATTTATTATAAGGAATCTCCTCTAGGTGTGTGACGTGTATGCCCGAGTGCTTTTGAAGCGGCCCAGAATTTATTTAGTTATCGCTCTCCAAAGGTTGCCTCAGACGTCAAAATCGGCCAAAAAGGGGGCGTTTCCCACAAATTCGGGCATACGCGCCGTCAATTGTACCATCAATGGCGACACTCAGCAGTCTGTAATTCATTATAAAGAATTTCCTCTAGGTCTATGACGCATATGCCCGAGTGCTTTCGATGCGGCCCAGAATTTATTTAGTTATCGCTCTCCAAAGGTTGCCTCAGTCGTCAAAATCGGCCAAAAAGGGGGCGTTTCCCACAAATTCGGGCATACGCGCCGTCAATTGTACCATCAATGGCGACACTCAGCAGTCTGTAATTTATTATAAGTAATCTCCTCTAGGTGTATGACGTGTATGCCCGAGTGCTTTTGAAGCGGCCCAGAATTTATTTAGTTATCACTCTCCAAAGGTTGCCTCAGACGTCAAAATCGGCCAAAAAGGGGGCGTTTCCCACAAATTCGGGCATACGCGCCGTCAATTGTACCATCAATGGCGACACTCAGCAGTCTGTAATTTATTATAAGTAATCTCCTCTAGGTGTATGACGTGTATGCCCGAGTGCTTTTGAAGCGGCCCAGAATTTATTTAGTTATCGCTCTCCAAATGTTGCCTCAGACGTCAAAATCGGTCAAAAAGGGGGCGTTTCCCACAAATTCGGGCATACGCGCCTCAATTGTACCATCAATTGCGGCACTCAGCAGTCTGTAATTTATTATAAGGAATCTCCTCTAGGTGTGTGACGTGTATGCCCGAGTGCTTTTGAAGCGGCCCAGAATTTATTTAGTTATCGCTCTCCAAAGGTTGCCTCAGACGTCAAAATCGGCCAAAAAGGGGGCGTTTCCCACAAATTCGGGCATACGCGCCGTCAATTGTACCATCAATGGCGACACTCAG